GCGCAGTAACTAGGTACATATGACACACAGGTGCACATACACGACGACGACACGCACACACACATTAGGGATGTACATACCTGCACACGCACAAGGCACACACGAGTCGCACACGCGTACACACACGGGTCGCACGCACATAGACACACAAGAAACCGTAACGCAAAACCAAAAACACAGACGCACATGGATGCAGAGAAACGTTCACAATACTAATTGAATCGGAATATATTACACTTTTAAAAAAAAAGGCAAACAAGTAATATATTAAAATCGGATGACACACACGAGAGACACACATACAGACACACGGAAACACGCAAGAAACAAACAAATGTCAAAATACACAAACATGAAAGCAGACACACATGTTTACAATACTAATATTTGCAAATAATGAAGAGATTAATTAAACTAACATCAACAGAATTGTAGCAAAACTATTAATAAAATAATTGTTAAAATCAAGATTGTATAAATCCACACGATTTTGAGAAAAGCAACAAATAATGTGCGGGAGTAAAACAAATATTATTATTATTTTTTTTTATTTCCTTTGACTTCCGGCGTTAACACATTTCTTTCCGGGTCCCGCCCAGGGACCTGAGGTTAGAAATGGCATCATGACACTTTTCACTGACAAAAAAAAAAAATATATATATATTGCATAGATAAAGCCCTTCTTAAGTGTGGGCTGTACTTGTTAAAACAACTTTTTGTATCTCCTTGAGGCATGGACTTCCAGGAATCCCTTCAGTTATTCTACTGCAATCTTTTCCAGCCAATCCTAAGGCTCCAACTACAACAGGGATTGTTGATGTTACCATATGCCACATTTTGGAGATTTCTATTTCAAGGTTATTATTATTATTATTATTATTATTATTATTATATTTCGATTTCTGCTATGTTCCCACTAACTACGAAGTTCTCGGGAAAAACTAAAGCCAGTAATGGTCTGTTTTTATGGCTACATTTTCTGATTTGATTTTCTAACTCCCATATCATCACTAACGTTACATGGACAAAGTCCTTTTCGTGCGTATTTATCAAGACAATTTTTGTATTTATCTGAAGATAGGATTTCCAAGGCTTTCTTCAATGTGTTCTTGTGTTCGTTTCTTTATCATTCCAAGCGCACCTACTGTGATTGGTGCTATTCTTGTTTTCAATTTCTACATTTTTTTTCTATTTTGATTTCCAGGTCTTTGTGCTTCGATACTTTTTTTCAAATTCCTAGGTTGCTGTGTCACAGTCCACAGGGCAAGCCATATCATTCAGTAGGTAATTTGTTTTTCTTTTCTGTTTTTGACAATTACGTCCGGCCTATTTATTTTAATCTTCCTGTCTGTAAAGATAGTTTGATCCCACAGAATTGTGATCTCTTCTGTTTCTGTAACCCGTGCTGGGTGATGTTCATACCAGGGTTTATGAACATCTTTTTCAAAGTGTTTGCACATTGTCCAGTGTATGTATTGCCCCCGACTCTATCATAACGATTTATATATTTATTTGGTGCAAGTACAGAACATCCTGACTTTTGATGGTCTACGTTTCCTGATATTTGTCACACAAGCTGAATTTTAGATCCACACTACTAGGCATAATATTTGCCTGAAAGGTTTTAGCGAATAAATATTATTATTTATTTATTTATTTATTTATTTATTCATTTAATTCTGTTGTAAACACATTTTCTTTAGGGAAATGCAAGAAATTGGTGTGAATACCATACTGACCCGATTACAGAGATAGGACATGTTACAATTTTATGGAATTTAAAATACACACAGAAACAACCAAAGCTAATCACCTAGACATGGTGATCAAAAACCACAAGACCAGAATGTGCTTTCTTACGGACATGGCAGTCTCTGCAGATTTTGATGTATCTTTGAAGATGTATCTTTAAAAATAATACCAAAATACAAGGAACTTGAAGTAAAAATCTCAAAAATCAACATCAATAAGGACATCAATAATTCTAATTGTAGTTGGAGCCCTCGGATTGTTTGGAAAGAATTCCGATAGACTCATTGAAGGAATTCCTCGTGGCTCATGCTTTAAGTAAAGAAAAAATAATCACAAGTATAGATTCTACATTACAAAGAGCTTTATCTATGAAAAATGTATGTGATCTTTTTTTCTTTGGTTTGGGTGATTAGTGGAAAATATCATTAAAATCATTTCTGATCTTAGGTCTCTGGTTGGGACCCGCAAGGAAATGTGTATACAAAATAAATAAAAGGAAATAATAATAATAATAATGATAATAATAATAATAATAATAATGATAATAATAATGCGGGAGTTCTACGTGATTTACTTTTACGTGAGATGACGCAGTTCGTACCTGTTGATTGGTTCGTTTTTGTCATAATCCTTTGTCGGGTTCATTTTTCTTCTGGGATGCTTCAAGTTTAGAATGCTTTTCACAATTTTTGTTTAATGACAAGAGCAACCAAAAAATGGATCCTGATTGACGTTGTGGTACATTGAACCCTGGCAGCGTAAATCAGAGAAATATACAAAACAGCTGCTCAAGTTGAACCTTTTGTTGACGCACTCCTGACTATTTCCAGTAATCGTTCTACCACGCGGAAGTCATTGGAGATGCCTTACACCTTTGGGAGTGGGCAGGTGGGAGCACTTTATGGATCAGCTCATTTTGCAACGAAAGATTTATGTCTCTGCAAACTGCGGGCAGGAGTTGAGATATGATCAACATCATCCGGACGAAACATCTAAGTTTCGTAGAAGATATTAAATCAAATGATAATGGCAGCTAAAGATCAGGATATTTTTTGAAATTGGTGTACAAAAAGCCAGATGTTTTTTGGAAGATAAAATTCGGAAAAAGAATCAATCATTGATCAATCGTGTAGGAGTCAATCTTTGACCAATCGTGTAGGAGTCAATCATTGACCCATCGTGAAGGAATCAATTATTGGACAATCGTGTAATGGTCAATAATTGAACTATCGTGTAGGAGTCAATCATTGACCCATCGTGAAGGAATCAATCATTGAACCATCGTGAAGAAATCAATGATTGGACAATCGTGTAATGGTCAACAATTGAACTATCGTGTAGGAGTCAATCATTGACCCATCGTGAAGGAGTCAATAATTGACCCATCGTGAAGGAATCAATGATTGGACAATCGTGTAATGGTCACTCATTGAACCATTGTGTAGGAGTCAGTCATTGAACCATTGTGTAGGCGTCAATCATTAACCAATCGTGTAGGAGTAAATCATTGAACAATCTTGTAGGAATCAATCATTCACCCATCGGGTAGGAGTTAATCATTGATACATCGTGCAGGAGTCAATCATTGACCAATCGTTTAGTAGTCACACGATTAAATTCATCTAGTTGGTCCATTAAGGAAAAAAAGTTCGACAGAGCAGTTGCCTTGAAAATATTTTCCTCGTCAGAATCTATCTTATACATTTACAAATCTAGCATTCATCCCTGCAGTGAATACTGTTGCCATATCTGGTCTGATGTCCCTGCTGTGTATTTCGTGATGCTTGACAAAATCCAAAGAAGGATCTGCAATGTAATCGATCCTGACTTGACTTCAGTCACATTCTCTTCTGTTTCCTTACTTCTAGAATCTTCAAATATTTAAATGCAGCATTAATCGAAATCTTCTATCTTCTTGAATCCCTTTCATCTTTTGTCATTTTCCCTAATCCTCCTATACATTGTGTTTTCTTTCACTTTCACGCCTTGTAACTACCAGAGTATTAGTGGCATTCTCGCCTTGCTTGGGGCGAAATGATTAAAAAAAAACGCTTCCTGTCTGCAGTATTTGCTACTGGGCAATCAAATCCGGTTTCATTAAACTTTTAATTAAATCCAGTTTAAATGCAACCGCTATTTCTACTCCAACAGTTTTTTTTTTTCGCGTTTTCTAACTATGGAAGGCCGTTCCGTTTACTTCCTTCCTACACTTTTAAATGCAACACCAATCGCCATCTTTAGTCTTTTTGAATCCAGTTGATATTTTATCATTTCTTTAATCCTCCCTAAACTCAGTCTTTTCACGGCCTGTAGCTACCTGCATATTAGTGGCATTTACATATTGCTTGGGGTGAAATGATTAAAGAAATAAATAATAATAATAATAATAATAATAATAATAATAATAATAATAATACTGTGACCAAATATTGGACATGTATTTACATGGACAGTTTGGAATTCCATGAAACTTCTCAGGAATGGTTAAAGGAGAGTGACCAGAAAAGAAATAACGAAAGTTTAATCAGAGCTGCACAGGAAGAATCCTTACAAACGAAAGCTATAACCAGAAACACGTACCACACAACAGATAATCCAATGTGGTGAGAAAGACGAGAATGTCACACATGTAATCAGTGATGTAATTATCACTGGCTCTTCTGCAAAAAAAAAAAAAAATGGCCACAGCGTGACCGAGAAATGTTACGATCACGTACCATTTAGAGTAATGGAAGAAGAAGGAAGATCATAGAAAATCAGGGACAATGACTTTCAAACAGATCGAAATATTGAGTAACAGATATAGCCACCCTATACACAACCGAGAAGAAATGCCAAACACTTGTTAAATTTTAAAGTCATAACTGTAGTAATAGGAGCACTTGGCTCTACCCCAATGAAATTTAAAGAATATGATGATCAAGTTGCTGTAAAATGGATTTTTTCGAACGCTAAAATAATCGGACAAGTGTGTATTGCTTATGACCATATAGCGTTGAAACATCAGTTCCTGTATGATCACGGTATGATTATCTATGCTAGTCAGTACCTAGATAGGTGGCCGCTTATGAATACCAGGATCAGTAAGATTGTATATGCGGGTGGTGTGGCTTATGGTCATAAGACGTTAAAATACCTGTTCTCGTACGATCAGAAAAGTTAAGCAACGTAGGGCCTAGTCATAACCTAGATTGATGATCACTTGGAACTACCTGGTGCTGGAAGATTGGATGTGCGTTTGGCTTGGCTTACGACCATATTACGTAGACATATTAGTTCTCGTACGATCACCGAAGTTAAGCAACGTCGAGACTGGTCAGTACATAGATAGGTGACCGCTTGTGAATGCCAGGATCTTTAAGCTTGGATATGCGGTGGTGTGGCTTACGGTCATAAGACGTTAAAATACCTGTTCTCGTACGATCAGAAAAGTTAAGCAACGTAGGGCCTAGTCATAACCTAGATTGATGACCACTTGGAACTAACTGGTAGTGGAAGATTAGATGTGCGTTTGGCTTGGCTTACGACCATATTACGTAGAAATATTAGTTCTCGTACGATCGCCGAAGTTGAGCAACGTCGAGACTGGTCAGTACATAGATAGGTGACCGCTTGTGAATGCCAAGATCTGTAAGATTGGATATGCGGTTGGTGTGGCTTACGGTCATAAGGCGTTAAAATACCTGTTCTCGTACGATCAAAAAAGTTAAGCAACGTACGGCCTGGTCATAACCTAGATTGATGATCACTTGGAACTACCTGGTGCTGTACGTTCTGATATTAATTATCCATTCAAAAAAAAAAAAATCGAAATAACATTGTCAGCATCCTTGCTCTGTAGAACGCCGGGGGATGGGGACAGGCAGATTACCGAACCATCACATTAGTAATCAAAACAAGAAATATCATTTTCTTTAAGCTCCCGTTCGTAATGACTTTAGACTTCCCTAGTGTAACAATTCTCAGTTGATCTAGCTGACAACTAAGTCTTTTGGGGATAATTTAAAACAATCGAGAAGATATTAAGTCATTGTACAAAAACGGACCGCAATTTCATTAGGATTTGACGTTTTTAAAGAAGTCGATATCTCCTTATTAACAACTAGCAATGATACCCATCGTTGGACGGGCCAAATCCCTCTCTTCTGGTCCGCTAAGTTGTTTCTTCGCGTCTGTTGTGAAATGCTCGAAATTGTCGTACTAATATCATCATCATTGTTATTTTAAAAATAATTTCACCCACAGAAGGGTGATAAATATACTAGCACACAAGGGCTTTCTGTGAGTGAAAGAATACGAGAAGACTTTAAAAGGAATCGGAAACCCAATCCTAAAAAAAGAATTAAGGAATATCACTGGGACCTTCACAATTTTGGCCTTGTTACAAAACCTAATAATTACGCTGATTGTAAATAAATATCAAAACAATTTTATTTTTAAAAAGTTTATATGCAAATTGATTTTCTCCATCAACTTTTAAGCTACCCATTTATTTACTGTCACTGGTGAACGAAGTCCTCTCACACACACTGAAGTGAAGCCACTCGGGTCCCCACGTTAAAAACCGACCTTGTGACACAATCTGACTCAGTGGGGGTGACGTAAATACCGAGAACTCACATTAAAATACAGACAAATGTCATGGTATCGAGCGGACACAAAATGTTTCACCTTTATAGTGATTCTCTAAGCGTAGCTCAGATGTGGCACAAGGCTGAAAGTATGGGGCACTCAGTGAGGATCGAACTCACTACTCACTCGTAATTGTTCTAGCGAGGCAAGCTTGCTAACCATTACACCATCTCGATGTGCCCTGATTTTCCAAACGTAGATCAGATGTGGCACAAGGCTGAAAGTGTGGGGCACCCAGTGAGGATCGAACTCACTACTTACTCGTAATTGTTCTAGCGAGGAAAGCTTGCTAACCATTACACCATCTCGAGGTGCCCTGATTTTCCAAACGCAGATCAGATGTGGCACAAGGCTGAAAGTGTGGGGCACTCAGTGAGGATCGAACTCACTACTCACTCGTAATTGTTCTAGCGAGGCAAACTTGCTAACCATTACACCACCTCGAGGTGCCCTAAGTTTCACTCTTATATATTACAATGGCAGAAGTTTATCTTTACAAAGAGTTCAACATCTTGAAAAACATCCGTAATTATTGAAGACTTTTCAATTCTGCACGCTCTCAGGAACAGTGTTAGTTATTGCCGCTATCTTTTTTGTTATGGATCTAATAATCTTTCTACATAACACGATTTTGTGGCAGAAACTGGCTTCGCGCTAATGATGCTGCCTCTTTTACGGGAACGAGAACATAAATCTTTACTTATGGAAGACAGTTAAGGGTTCATTTTGTTTTATTTTTAAATACGGTGTGCCGCCAAAGTACCATTATATTCGAACAGCTATAGAGATTTACTAAGCGTAACTTTAGTGTAGGACAAGAGGCCAATATTGTGGAGCAACCAGTGAGCATCCGGCAACTCAATCATAATTGATCTAGCGAGACAAGAATGCCAACCATTAGACCACATCCCAGTCAGTTATGTGCCATGCGTGATATACGCTTAGGCTATCATGATTTTCACCGTAGTATGTTGCCATTTCTTTCTGAAGTAGACCAATTTCCATCCAAGGCTACAGATCCGGACTGTCCTGCTATTTACCCATAGCAAGGGAAGAAGAGGATTCCTATCTTTACCAATGGTGTGATCATGTAAGTGAATGTAATGAATTCGACTGGAATTCGAACTCGGCTCTCCGATTCCTAAATCCGAGACGCTATCCATTAGTCCACTGGTCTCTCCTGCTATTTACCCATACCACGTCTAAGTACCTAAAAAACGACTTTCTAAGCGTAGCGTAGATATGGCACATGGCTGAAAGAATGGAGTACACAATGAAAATCGAACTCATTACTCAGGCGTAATTGACCTAGCGAGACAAGATCGTAAACCATTACGTCTAATTGCCCCCCGAATGATTTTCTAATGGTAGATTAGATGTGACATAAGATAGAAAGTTTGGAGCACCCAGTGAGAATCGAATTCACTACTAACTGATCTAAAACACGTTTGCTACCCATTCCAACATATCTAAATGGCCCAAAATGATTTCTATACGTTTATTAGATGTGGGACAAGACCGAAATTATAAAGGAGATGGTGAGGATCGAACTCCTTATTCAGTCGTAATTGATGTAGCGATTCAAGCTTGTTAACCATTTCACCACGCCCAAGCGCCCAAGACAACTTACCTATATGACAAGGTATCAAGTAAACATATTGAAGAATTCGCAAAAAGTTTTCCATGGAACATATGGAACAACTCAAATCATGCACCTCTTAAATATTTTGGACATATTAAATAACGCATCGATTAAACATATTGGGTGCTTTGAAGGAAAAGTATATATGTAACACTTTAAAAAACAATTGAGTTAAACACATGGAACACAAAATCGAACTTCAATTAAACATATAGAAAACTTTGAATAAGACGTTAATTAAATTCATGTATTACAAAATAAACGCCAATTAAACATATGGGACACTTTGAATAAAACTTAAACACATTAAATGCAATATAAAAAGTTATTTAAACATATGGAACACTTTGAATAAAACTTAAACACATTAAATGTAATATAAAAAATCATTTAAACATATGGAACACTTTGAATAAAACTTACCTTAAACACATTAAATGCAAAATAAAAAGTCATTTAAACATATGGAACACTTTGAATAAAACTTACCTAAAAAACATTAAATGCAAAATAAAAAATCATTTAAACATATGGAACGCTTTGAATAAAATTAACCTTAAACACATTAAATGCAAAATAAAAAATCATTTAAACATATGGAACACTTTGAATAAAACTTACCTTAAACACATTAAATGCAAAATAAAAAATCATTTAAACATATGGAACACTATGAATAAAACTTACCTTAAACACATTAAATGCAAAATAAGTCAGTTAAACATAAGGAACTCTTTGTATAAAGCGTCTGTTAAACACGGGATACGATGAATAAAGTGTCTGTTAAACATAACGTCAAGAGAAAACACATTGAATGAAATGTAAGTTAAACATGAAATGCAAAACGTCACTTAAAAGACTTTGAAGCGCAGTACTAGATGGGTAGTAAGGTCTCATCAATTTACTTTTGAGCTGGTTAAATGTAACCGTAAATTCTGTGCTTGCAGTTTCTCACATGTAGAACTCTCGTCCGGCTCTATGCTCTTCATCCAACTTTAATCTCCAAAGATTTAAATGTAAGTCAGTGGCTATGGACTGTCTACCTGATTACTTTCTATACTTTCTGCTCATTATCAATGTTTCTGTTCCTAATTCTTCCACAAATTGTAACCCATTTTTAGTGGCATTACTGCTTTGCTTGAGGGATTACGATTTAAAAAGTAAAACAACATACTAAATAAAAAAAAAATCACATATTGACTGAACACTTTGAATAAATAGTTAAACTTACTGAAAACTAAATAAAGAGTCAATTAATTCCCCTCTCCAGGTTCTCCGCCGTCTTAATCAGGTATCGAACTCACACTGTTTGGGTCCTGTCACTGGATTTAACTAACGCCTTTATCCACTGTGCTATGTGTCCTCAAAGAGTTCAATACATGGTTAAGGTGTTTGAGAACTTGGAGAGGGAAATTAACAGCAAATAACTGATATCTAACATTCATTAGATATGGCAACAAAGATGAGGACAATAGTCGGAATAATGTAAATAGTGTACATGACTCAGAAATATCATGTTTTTTTTTTACATAAACATGCAGAACACACTGAATATAGCGTCAATTAAGCAAACAAAACACAAAACAGAACCTCGGTGAAACCTGTGGATCAAATCGGATAAAACGTCCTTTCAAATATAGAACTTCTTGAAAAAAATCCTAACTTAAAAATAGAATCTGTCTATATTTCTGAGATAAGGTATTATATACACTATTTACATTATTCGGATTATTGTCCTCATCATTGTCGCCATATTTATCACAACGTTTCGGCCGTTGTAAGCTCCCGCCTTCTTTATGCCGAACTGAACCCTATATTTCACTCACTGGGGTAGACAGTTCTAGTTCAACGTGCCATGCCTAATGGATGTCAGTTATCAGTTATCTCCTGTAAATTCGCCACTCCAAGTTTTCCACTGCCTTAACCGGGTATTGAACTCACACTCTTTGGGTCTTGTCACTGGATCTAACTGATACCTTTATCCACTGAGCCATGTGTCCTTAACGTTGAAACACGATGTACGGTTTTGTAGTGGTTCTGTGCATTTCCTAATGTAACACTGCATTATATATATATATA